TACTGATGGATCGCCATGAATATGCTGCCCATCCTTATTGGCCTCATTTCTCTTTTCTTTCACGCTCACTGATCCCTCATAGAGCATCAGCTCTCAAGCTTTGCCTCAGGCTCTTTTTTTCTGGGGAACCTGGGCTAAGGGAATTCCTTATTAGAATCTAAGTTCCGTGAGAGTAAGGATTTTGGTTTAATTTGCTTACTGCCTAGAATATTGCCTGGCACGTAGTACATGCTCAATATATGTAAGATCTGTGTGAGAGTACGTGTGTATGTGTGTGTATCTCATATATAACATGTTATGAGCAGCAGAGTGCAGATATATATCTATATCTATATATCTAGATATAGATATATAGATATAATTTTATATTTTACATTGCAAATGTAGTGCATTTTGAAAGAATTAATTGATTCAGGGCAGAACTCCTGGAAAAGAGGAGCACCAAAATAAGTTTTTAGGGAGGATAACAGATCTCTTATTAACTGATTCCTGCTACAGAGAACACCCAGAACTGAATACAAAAAGCCCAGATGTATTTAAATGCAGTACAGTGAACAACTAATGTGTAGGGAGTTATGAGAGAAAGACGCAGAACAGACAGGAGTAACCAGCATCACTCAGCACTGAGCTGCACAAGAGGTTCCCATCAAGCCCGATGCAGAGCTGACCTGATCTCCTAACACTTCTGGTTTGGTTTGAAATGCAAAGGAGAGGCAAGAAACAACACTGAAGGCAGGGGAGGGGATTCCCATTGTGGGCTGTAGAGATCTCATAGACAAAATTAGACGATAGAGCGCTGCTTGTGGCTGCCCAACATAGTTCAGGAGTGAGTCAAGAAGAAACATTCAGAGAGACTCTCCCAAAGCAGTTTGTTATTTTCATGTCAACACCTAAATTTCTTTCTCCTTCTTCCTAAGAGCTCTGATTGCCCTTTGGTCTTTTCTCACCTCACAAGGCATTCTCTGGTGATCATACGGTGTCTTCAGTAATTCAATAGTTTTGTTGAGCGTATACTATGTGCTAGTTACTGTTCAGAACTGAGGTAACAGCAATGACCAAACAGAAAAAATCCTGCCTTGATAGAGCTTAGATTTTAGCAAAGGAGATAGACAGTAAACAAAATGCATGAGTAAAATATATCATATATTAGATAATGATAAGGAATTTGAAAAAAATAAACCAGAAAAAAGAGACAAAAGAGCTGGGGTGGGGTTAATTCTAGTTAGGGTATTAGTTTGCTATGACTGCTGTAACCAAGTATCATGAACTAGATGACTTAAACAACAGAAGATAATTAATTGTCTTATAGTTCTGGAGGCTAGAAATCTGACGTGATGGTGTCAGCAGGGTTCGTTTCTTCTGAGGCCTCCTTCCTTGGCTTGTAGATGACCAGCTACTCTTTGTGTCTACACATGGTCTTCCCTCTTTAAACTCTGCCTCAATTCTTGCTGTTATCACTGTGGACCTTTTTTCTGATACACTTAGAAAATGAGGTTGAATGGCTATTTGTCAGTCATATGTGCTTTCATAAAACTTGGGAGGATTCTTGGATTTTGTGCATTGTACATCTTTTTTTCTCCCATTTCTTTTGCTGGGCAAAGAGAAGGGGATAGCTGCAGAGGTCTATTTTCTGTCACCATTTGTGGTGGGTTCTTAAGGGAAGTCTGCTTCTGACTTTTCATTTTTCTTTTGGTTTTTGAAATTGTTGTTAGGGTACCATATTATCTGCAGGTTTTATGGATGATATGTCTTTCATTGCCAGAGAATGAATGGCCAATATGCATGATACCAATGTGTTAAATCTGGAACTGCTAAGATAACAAAACACCTACAAAGCTATGAAGGTTCATACTGCCTAATATTATTGGAACGTATAATATAGTAGATTTATTCTCACACTGCCTATCAGAAGGTCTTGGACTTACACATACATCACATTTATTTGTTTACCCAGAGGCAAAACGGTACAGTGGAAATACCACTGGATTTGTCATTGGAAGGATGGGTCAGGACTCAGGTTTGCTAATTCCCAGCTTCGTATCTTCAGACAAGTCTTGAACCTCTTTCAGTCTCAGCTCTTTCACCTATAAACTGAAAAAAAACAAGACTTCCTTTACCTCTTATAGAAGTGTTGGGAAGGGGCTGCTAGTTAGCTCAGGTGGTTAGAGCGTGGGCTCATAACAACAAGGTTGCCGATTCGATTCCCACATGGACCAATGAGCTGCGCCCTCCACAACTAGATTGAAAACAACGACTTGACTTGGAGCTGATGTGTCCTGGAAAAATACACTGTTCCTCAATAATGTTTTTAAAAAAAGTTAAAAAAAAGAAGTGTTGGGAAGATGAAGTAAAGGAATAGCTTTGTGAAGTATTGTTATATAAAACTAGATATTTTTATAATATATATGCAAGGGCTATAAAATACCATGCAAATATGTTTTACTATTCCTTCAGTGCTTTTATTCTTGTTCCTTTTTCTTTAGGTCACTGTCCCATCTCTCATGTTTCTGTAGGGTCCACCACAGCCTCAGATGGTCCTTATGTCCTGCTTTCCAGAGTAGTGGGAGGCCTCACAGGTGTAAGAAACACAGGGGCTTTGGAGTCCCACGAGCCTGCATGGAATCCTCTGCCTCTTTGAGTTGAGTGCCACTGGGCAGGTGATTAATCTTCCCTGGACCTCAGCATCTTTCTCTGTGAAATGGAGCAGTGCCAGATGCTCTGAAATGATCCCTACTCTCAAATATAAGAGGAAGCAATTAGATATGCCTCATGTTTTAGGATATAACATTTTTCTCCTCCCAACCAACCTATGGAATATTAAGTTGTTACCCATGACAGTCAAAGTCTCTTTTAATTCTACTAATTTCTGGTTCATCAGGAAAACAAGTAAGCAGGCCATGAATTGCCTCTTTAAAAACGCATTGAAATGGATCTAACTCTATTTAAACGATTGGATGAGGTGGGAATTCTCTTCTTAAAACTGTTTTTCTAGAGCTATTCAAATGTTCACATTTGCAGCCTAGTTAAAAAACATTCTCTTCTGGATTGTACAAGAAGGGAAGTACCAGGACCACAGATGAGGCTGGGTACAGCTATGACTCAGAGGTGGCTTCTTTCCCTCCTGCTGCATTCATTAGCTGCTGAGCTGGCCTTGCTTTTCTTCCGTCCTCCCCTCCTTCCCTCCTCCTCTCCCTTACCCTCCTCTGCCCCCCTCACCCCTCCTTTTCTCCTCTCTCCCTCTCCCCCTCTCTCTCTCTCCCCTCTTTTTCTGTTCTTCCTTCCTTCTCCTTTCCTTTCTTTTCCTTTTCTTCCTTTTTTTCTTTTCTTGAGGTGAAATTGCATAACAAAATTAACCATTTTAAAGTGGACAGTTCCCTGGCATTTAGAACCTTCATAAAGTTGTGCAACCACCATCTATAATATATCAAGTTCCAAAACATTTTCATCACCTCCAAAAGACACTCTGTACCCATTAAGCAGTACTCACTATTCTTCCTCTTTCCAGGCTCTGGCAACTGTCAGTCTGCTTTCTGTCTCTATGTATTTACCCATTTTGTACATTTTAAATAAATGGAATCATACAATATGTGACCTTTTGTGTCCGGTGTCTTTTATGCAGCATCCTGTTTTCAAGATTTATCCATGTTATACATATATCAATGTTAACCATGTGATGTCGTGTTTTCCCCACCCTCCTCACTTGCTCTGGTCCAGGCTTCCTAGCTATATTAAACGTGCTAAGAATGCTCTTTCTCTAAAGTCTTTGCACTGACTTCTTTTTTGAATGAATAAGTATCCCTATAACTTACTCCCTCCTCCCTTACTTCATTCTAGCTGGTGCTTGAGTGTTACCTCCTCACTGAGGCCTTCTGTGATCATCCTGTTCACAGTCAGCTCTATCCCCATCTCAGCACCAACATCCCCCTTACTCTAATCCATTTTTTCCCAAAGCATCTATTATTTTCTAACTGTATATAACTTATTCATAACTTCTATTTTATCCCTATTATGTTTATGTATTGTCGGTCTCTCCCTCCTCCATTACCATTAGAATGTTTTGTGAAATCAATAATTTTCTCTGTTTTGTTTATTGATGCATCCCAAAGCCCAATAAGCTCTCATTAAATATTTGGGGAGTGAATGAATTAATGATGAAGGGTGAAAACATGTAAAGCACAAGCTACCTAGCACAGGGCTGAGAACATAGGCTGAGTCAGTGCGTTTTCCTCTTCATGCTGCTCTATCGGGTTTTTATGTCTCCTCTTTTTCCCATCCAGACTATTTACAGCTCTCCTCATTCCTTCTCTAACCTGTTCTCATCCATCCCTCTGATGATGCAAACATGAGAGTAACTGGTTTTCTGGGTGGAATTGTCAAATACAGAGGGATTACCTTTCCTGGAGGGACTCAACCAAGGCATTATGTATCTACCTGTAACTGTCTCTTATCTGTACCTTCTGAAAAAAACATCTTAGATTTCAGTGTGTGTGTGTGT